CCCAGTTCTTTATGGAAAATGGCTGTTTTACTCAAAGTTTTAGAAACGAATGTTAGAAATTGTTTCAGCATGCAACTGAGAAATAAGATGACACTGGCAAAGGAGTATTGAATTCTATCTTACCCTACAGGAAAATAGAAGGGGAAGGGGAGGATGGAGGGGGGTGGGGTGGGGGCAGGTAATAAAAGGGAGAAATTGGGTGAAGGGGGAATCAGAATGCAGGCTGGGAGAGAAAATTTGGAACTCAAAATCTTGTGGAAGTAAATGTTGAAAAGTAAAAATAAATAAATAAATTGAAGAAAAGAAAAAGAAACTGGCAGTTTTAGCCTACAGCCAGTGTGACACTACTAGAATTTATTTGTGCAGCGTATTTCAGGGGTACATAAATATACTGATATGAGTTGGGTAACTCTTGCCTTATAAACACTAGAGATGTAACAAATAGTTTTAAGGAGCCAGCATCATATAAAGCTGGAAGTGACTCCTAATTTTACAGAGGAAGAAACTGAGCCTCATAGATGCCAAGTTATTTTACAATCACTTAATAAGCACTTAATAAAGTTGTGGCCAGGTCTTCTTGACTCCAAGTCCTATTTTACTATACCACAGTGGTTTGATCAGATTATGTCAGAATCTTTTAATTTCTGTGGTAAGAGTTAGAAGGCTAAGAGGCTTGTGCTTCAGATAAAGACTAGGAATCGAGCAGAAACTCCAAAGCGATTCCCCTGGGAAAAGCACTGTATTTTATGTGGATCTGAGTTTCTGTTCCTTTATTACAAGCATGCTTACTAAATCAGTGTAGGCCTTATCTTTCAAAATAAGATGATGGAAGGAGGGGAGCAGTGGCAGTTTGCTTTTTTCCTTCTGTTTTACTTGAACAAATCAAACAGAAAGGGGTTGCTGACATGGATGGTAAAATTCTCCTAGAAGACAAGATCATTGGGGTTATGATCCTCACCTTCTGGAATGGGGGGAGGGAAGAAGGAAGCCTATTGGAAAACTATAAGGGGAAAAAAGGCATTCTAGAACAATTCTAAACACCACTCCTACCCCATCTCGTGCCCCCCATCCCTCATCCCCAGAAATAACCTAATACAGTGTTTCCACATAGTAGGCACTTAAATGCTTATTGATTGACTTTTAACACATTTACTTTCAAAAAATTAACCTCATACAAATTAAGAAATCTATTTGCTATTAGCTCTAGTTATGACTGTCTGCTAGTTTAAAAGAGTTACAGATTGTTGCAATCGTTTTGTTCTGGAGCTGCTTCTTCTGCAGCCTTTAAAGTGAAATTTTAAATTTATTTTGAGTTAGTGGTTGTCCGAAGCACTTCCCTGACTCTCCAGAGAATCCATGGTTGGTGTCTTTTATAGCAATATTTATAATGTGATTGTGTGTGTGTGTATACAAATGCACACTTACTGCTTCTGGCATGATTTTCACTAAAAATTAAATTTCACAAGTAAAAATAAATGGGGGGGCAGCATTAAATGATCTGTCATAATCCTGTTTAACTCTAAATCCTATAAACTGAGAACTTGGTTGTAGCGATAGTATGACTTTGTTCCCTGTAATTTAAAAATAAGCAGAGAACATCTCAGCAGAACTTCTCTTAATGGTTGGTTAGTTTTTAAAAGGATCTTTAGGGAAGAAATTTTGTTTCCTCATAACAGTTTAAAAAAAAGAAAACCAAACCCTTTGTGGTCCTCTTATTCAAATGATCAAATGATTTGTAAAATTTTTATGAGGGGAAAAAATCTACCTCTTTTGCTATAGTGGAGCCAGTAATTAGTTCACTTGGAGTCAGGAAAGATCTGAGTTCTAATCATGACTGATATTTACTAGCTTCATATCCCTTTACTTTTCTGAGCCTCATTTTTCTCACCTGTACACATATTATCCCTATATCACAGGGTTTTTGTGAGAAAAAATACTCTATAGGAATGTGATTTTTTTTTATATGCAACCAGTCGAAAACTTGGGAATTAAAAAGCAAGTAGGTTAACAAGTGGTGACTTGATGGGGAAAGCTTCAGAACTGAATTGAGTTCAAATGGATGAATGGAGATGAATAATGAGAATTATATCTTTTTAGAAGTTGAGAGTAGACCTGTCAGAAAAAGAGGTGAGACATAAATGGATGAGATATAGGTGAACATAAGAATATAGTTTGAAAAAAGAAATGCAATTTTGCTTGGGCCATGAGTAGGAGAAGGAGTGAACTTTGGTGATGAGACATACCTAATGAGATAATCCAGAATAGGTTTCTGGTGGGGGAATGACTGGGTCTTGGGAGGGGAATTTGGGGTGATGGATACTAACTGATCAGTAGAATAGAATGAGTTGGGCAGGGTTAGGCAGTAGGGCTCAACTCTGGGTAAGGGACATAAAACAACGAATTTGGGGGGAGCTGGGTATCATAAGAAAAACTAAGATAAAAAGTTTTTGACATAAGCTATGTCTAATAATATCTTTGCCGTTTTAGTAAAACCTTGAGTATCTGGGTGTTACCTTTAAACTGATGGTGTAATGTTTGACTCAGTTTTTTTGGACTGGGTCCTAACTTTTTATTAAATACTTAATAATATTAACTGGAAACAAGAGTTGGCAGGATCCCATTGGTCTGTGATATGTTATTGGTAAGAATAATGTTTCTTGCTTTCAAAAAAGCTCTAACTTTATGATGATTTATTAACATTTGCTGCTAATTTTCATTCCTTTGGGTATAATATTAGGACATTATAGAAAATGATTCTGTGCTGAACTTTAGTTGAAAGTCTGTAACAAAACATAAACATTTTGCAATTCCTAAATCTCTATGTAGAAATATTCCTGTGAAGTGGATCAGGAAGATTGACTCTTTTAAACACTAGCCATATATACAGGAAGATTATTGAATCCATATCAGAATCATTCACAATTCACCCAGGGTCTTATGAACTAGCACTCTCAGGTTTTGTGAGTATTACATTTCTCCATGAGGTATAGGTTGTAGACTTTTAGTATAGTATTTGGCAGCCCTATGACTTGTTCCCCCTCAAATGTGTGCTCTTTCAAATTTTTGTCTTTAATGCCATTTACAGTTAAATTAATTTTATTGAGTAAAATATAACTTTTCTTTCCATGGTAATTTCTACCCACCAGGTCACAGTCCCCCTTCCTTCAAAATAGATGCACTCCTTTTTAACAAATACTTATACTCATGCAAAACGTAGTGACATAATAGCTATGTCTGAGACAGAATGGCTGATTTTGTACCTCTAGTCCAGATATTTTGATAACTTTTGACATAATTTATTATTTGCAGTTCTATATATTTTATTTTATATCTTTTAAAACATTCTTCTGAAAAGGGTCCACCAGCCTGCCAAAGGAGCCAATGCTGTACCCCCCCCCCGACAAAGTTAAGAGCTCGTGCTTTGGTCTGTCCCCTCTCCAATAAGGAGAATAGTCCTTTGTAGTATGTATGTAGTCATGATTGGTTGTTTTAATCAGACAGTTCTGGGGTCTTTCAGAGTAGTTTCCCTTCTTTTTACTTTTCTGAAATCTTTCCTTTTTTTTTTTTTGGTCAGAGATCTCTTAATATTCTTAGATGTAACATATCTCTTAGAAGAAATGTGAAATAGGATAATAACCTCTTGGTTGGGGTTGAAGGTACAGGGAAGGTGATTAGATTTTTATGGGGAAAGAATAACTTTTTTTGATGTTTAGCTTGATGAGTTTAATTTAATATAGATGCATATTTATTAACCACTTGTTAAGGGCAAGGCATTGGGGACACAAAAGTGAACAAAACATAATCCCTGACCTCAAGGAACTTATTGTTTAGTAGGAGAGATAGGACAGGAACATATGAAATTCTAATCTGTATTATTCTAATAAGTGCCTAGGAGATGAACCAGTAATGCTGTGAGAGATCGGAGGAAAGAGACCTACTTTGAGGGTTGGAGTTAAAAGAATATCATGAAAAAAAAAAAAGAATAGCATGTCAGTTCATGTAAGCGATGGGAGCTGAGCTGAGCTAGATAGGATTTCAGCAGCTAGATGGAAGAATGTATCCTTTTGGAGCACAGAAAATGTGTGAGCTGTAGATTTGGAAGTAGAAGAGGGTGTAGCTTGAGGTTAGAAATAGCTGGTGGTTGTCGGGTTTGTTGAGACATTGGGTATAAGGGGAAATTGTGAGAGGAAGTGCTAGAAAGGTTGAGGCCAAGACTGTTGAGAGCCTTAAATTCCAGGCTCTAAGGAGTTTGGACTTTTTGTTTTAGAGCACATGGAAAACTAATGAAAGCTTTTTAGTCAGAAGAGTGACATGATCAGAACAATGCATTAGAAAGGTATGACAAACTGTAGAAAGGAGACATCAGTTAAAAATCGATGATTCTGGTGAGAGCACTAGCCCTAGAGTCAGGAGGACTTTAGTTAAAATTCAGTCTCGGACACTTGACATTTCCTAGGTATATGACCGTGGGCAAGTCACTTAACCCTGATTGCCTTACAAAAAAATAATAATAAACATTTAAAAAAATAAGCAACTGCCAAACATCCATTTAAAAGTAACATACTAAAATCCTAAAATATGAGAAAATCTGATATTACATATATAATAAATTCCAGTTTTTCTCTGTGGAATTTTAGATTGAACTATACATATATGCGTATGTGTTGCTAAAAATAAGCATTTTTTAATTTTTATTTTTAGGCAGTTGGGGTTAAGTGACTTGCCCAGGGTCACACAACTAGTAAGTATCAGGTGTTTGGTCTGAGGTGGGATTTGAACTCAGGTCTTCCTGACTTTAGGGCCAGTGCTCTATCTACTGTGCCACCTAGCTGTCCCTAAAAATAAGCATTTTTCAAACAAGTTTTAGGGTATCTCTTTAAATGGTAGAAATTGATTTTCGTTTTTCTTTGTATCCTTATATATGATATCACTTGGTAAGAATCAGTAATAAAAACCTGCACTCTTCATATTGACTAATTTTTGTCTTTTTATCCCCTTAGAGCTGTAGGTAAAACTTGCCTACTGATCAGTTACACGACCAATGCCTTTCCTGGAGAATATATCCCTACTGTGTAAGTATCCTCCGTTAAAACTTATGAGTTAACTACTCTGTGACATTGAAAATTTTACTCATTATGAGTTTTGCTACAAATCAGGAAGCTCCTTTCCTTCTTCACTGCACACCTTTATTGAAGTCCAACTGTCCGGGGAGTAGAGCCAAGATGGTGGAGTAAAGGCAGGGCCTCATCTGAGCTGTCCCAAATTCCCCTCCAAACAATATTAAAATAACACCTCAAAACTAATTCTGAAGCAGCAGAAGCAGTAAAAAGATGGGATAAAACAATTTTCCATCCCAAGACAACTTAAAAGGTTGGCAAGAAAGGTCTGTCTCACTGGGTTGAGAGAGTGGAGTGCAGTCCAACACAGTGCAGGAGGCAGGGGGCGGGGATTGAATTGGCTGCAGCAGCTTCTGGAGCACTCAGCCCGCAGATGATAAGAGGTCTAACAACTGGTCAGTAGATTATAGGAGACCTTTTGCTGGCACTGGGGAGCAAGATTTTTGTTCCATTGCCCATATATTTGCTGTCCCAGGGCTAGACAGAGCACTAGCTGGAGCAGTGATCCTGGTTACAGTTCCAGGGCAGAAAAGAGTGCTGATGGTCCCTCATAGACCAGAGCACAGATAAGGAGAGCAGTGACCACACATCTCCTAAGATCATACCACCTTGGAAGAACTGAAATTTTACAGACATCTCCTCCACCCTCAGCTCTGAAGACAACAGCATAAAAAACCTGATGCTTGGGACAATGCCCCTTCCACCCTGGAAGCAGAGCCCAGTAACATAAAGTGAAAAGTCAAGAAATAGGTTGGAAAAAGATGAGCAAACAACAAAAAAAAGAACCTAACCATGGAAAGATAAGTATGGTGATGGGAAGATAAAAACACAAATTCAGAAGATGATGACAAAGTCAGAACTGCTACATTCAAAGCCTCAAAGAAAAATTTGAATTGGTTTCAGTCTCCCAAAAAGAATTCCTGAAAGAGCTCAAAAAGGATTTTTAAAAATCTCTTAAGAGGGGTAAAAGAATAATTGGGAAAAGAAATGTAATTATGAAAAGGATGTTTGGCTTTCTGCACTAGGATCAATATGGTACAATAGAGGGAGCACTGAATTCGGAGTCACAAGACCCAATTTCAAATACCAAAAATGTAATTCTTGCTACTTACTGTTTTTGTGACATTGGACAAGTCACTGGACCTCTCTTGAAGCAGGAGATGTCTAAGATTTCTTCCAGATTTAGTCTGATCCTATGTACAATCCTGTTTTGTGTGTATGTGTTTTAAGAAGTTTAGGTGATATATCCTTTAAACCAAGGGTAGAGAACCTGCAGCCTTGAGGCCACATGTGGCCTTCTAGGTACTTGAGTGAGGACTTTTGGCCGAGTCCAGGTTTTATAGAATAAATCCTTTCATTAGGGGGATTTGTTCTGTGAAGTTTGGATTCAGTCAAACGGCCACACTTGAGGACCTAGAGGGCCACATGTGGCCTCCAGGCTAAAGGTTCCTCACCTTAAACCATTCTAATTCTACCCTTGGCCAACTGACCTTATGATAGATATGCTTCTGAAAAGTTTCCTCACAATGAGGTGACTGATGGAACTTTCATTTTCTTTCTTGCTCCCCTCCTTTCCTTTTGGAGAAGAGGTCTAAGTTACCAAACCTTTTATTATAATCCTCTATTTCTTTGTCGTCTAGAAAGAGTTGCTTTTGTTATCTTTTGTATTCTTTTTTATTTTATTGCAGGAATGTTTATCATATAACGTTAAATCAGCAGTAAAAACTAACCATAACAGTAGTAGTATCTAAGGAAAAGAGCACAAGGTTTGAAGTCAGAGGATCTGAGTTCAAATCCCCTTACTTTTGCTTACTAACATACCAGTCTGATGGAAGTCCTCTGAGCCTGCTGTGGACCAGGATATTTGTAGTTGTGAAGAGGCATGAGTTAATGCCCCACGCTCCCTCCACATGAGTGAGGGAGCGGTGGTGAAGACTTGGGTTAGTGTGTGTTAACTTTTGCCTCCAGATGAATTGATCTGGCACCCAGCTGTGGCCCTCTTGGGGAAAAAGTGTAAAATAGTAGTTTGTAGGACTTCAGCTGGAAGCCATTTAAGACTCCAGGGAACCTTTTTGCCTACTGCTTTTAACCTTCCTGCCCATGCTTTTATCTCTTTTTGTCTTAGTGGACTGTTTTTGACTGCCTTGGGATAATAGTCATTGCACTCTTACCTCACCTGGTGTTCTGAAGAAAGTTCTGAAGAAATGTAGGCACCTAGAAACTATTTCACTACTATTAACTTAGACCTTAATTCAAGAAGGCTTTGTTATTTTAAAAAAAAACAAAAAACAAAAAACAATCAGAAACCTTATTCAAAACACATTTGCCAGCAAGAACTCCAGGGTACTAGAGTTTGCTTAATTTGTTTCTATTTAAAAGAAATTTTAAATTTTGCTTTAAGGTTGAAATTTATTTATATTTTGTACTTGATGCTTTTTCCTGTTTGACATTGTGTCATTAAAATCTCATTTATTCAGTCTCTCTGTAGCAGTTTTTAAGAGCTTGAGCTTGCCAGTTTATGTACATTCAGAAAATGCAAACTGATTTTATATTAACATAAATAAAGTACTAGAAATGTTTGTTCTAATTGTACATAAAAAGGTTCTAAAATTAAATGCAAATTGCTTTTGGATTATCCAAAGTTTCCTTTATGTGCATCACTGCTTCCTTTTATTAGCACAGATGACCAAGATTTTTATTGTATATTGTTCTCTATCCAGTAGCTGTTCAGTGCATGCTGCTATAATTGTCAGTTTAGTGAAAATTATTTTTAACAATGACTTAGTTGAAAAATCTGTTCTAGAAACAGTGAAAATTGAACAAAAGTACAGTATGAAAAGGATTTGTTTTTATAGTTCAGTTGTTACTTCTTGGGAAAAATTATTTCATAATATTTGAACTCTTTAATGCTGTTTACTAAAAACAAAGTCTTTCCTTGACATCTTTGGATTAGCGTAGTAAGTTTTCTCTTTTCTTCTTTCCATATATTTTGTACCCATAAGTCTCTTGTATTGTCTAATCCTTTCTCTGATTCTTGTTGTGAACCTTATGTGAACACAACTGCCATTTTCTGCTCCTTTCTTTGTTTTAGATCACAGTGCTAAACTTTTTCTTTTTATTCTACAGCTTTGACAACTATTCTGCCAATGTTATGGTAGATGGAAAACCTGTGAATTTGGGTTTATGGGACACAGCAGGCCAGGAAGACTATGACCGATTACGTCCTTTATCCTATCCGCAAACAGTAAGAATTACATATATATGTATATGTTTTATATATATTAGTTCTGTGATAGCAAATGAAGTTACTTAAAGTTTGCTCATTGCCTGTGAATTGGTTATCCTATGTTAACCAAAAGTCATGACTCCACAACATATAAGTAGTAACTTGATTTATTACAAGAGAAAGGCACATGCATCCTTATACCAAGGAGCTTGCTCTGCACACAGTGCCTTAAATATTTATGGAGTAACAGCAAAAAACAGGAGGTCTTATAGGAGGAGTAGAGGGCAGTCCTCTCCCAAATGGAAGTGACATGGAGAGAGGAAGGGAGCAATAGGGGAGGACAAGTAAGAAGGGAGCAAAAGGGTTTGGGAACATGGGACTATGGAAGGAGGATGTTTTGCTTATCTGAAAGGGGTCCTGGCTGCATGATTTATTATTCTGGGCAAACTGACTAGAGCTGACTCTGGCTTCAAAGACATTGAAAGTTTATTAGAGTTCAGTTGCAAAGGGCTTCAACTCTAGCAAATAGGGCAACTCAAGAAAACCAGTTCAAGGGGCCCCTTTGTAACTGTTATTATTCCTGTCTTAAATTCTTCCAGAAAGTTTCAGCAGTGATCAGAGAGCAATATGAAATACTTAACGTATTGGTCTTTGGTGTGTTGTAGCTTAAGAAATTCTGGTTTGGGCAAGAATTAGTTGATTGAATTTAGATTATAATAATGTAGTACCACAAGATTGAATTTTGCCTTTAAAATGAAAGTGTATTTTATTTAAATCCTTTAGGCTTATTTTTTTTTTCAACAAAAATTTGGGAAGGTACAAGCTGTATAGTTTAACTATTTTTATTGTACATTTGTGCTTTTTAATTTATTTAAAAAGAGTCAGCCAGGTCAATGCAGAAAAACTCAAAATTCTGCATTATATTGCTGACTTAATCTTTACCTTTTTCTTCCTATTTTTCATAAATTGTGTGGTTTAATTCCAATTGCTTTTTTAGTTCAAAGGAAGAAAACATTTTACAACAGCAGAAGCTATTGCTATTAAGAACTAGATTGCCATTAGTTAATGATGAATGAAAGTGCTGAAGTGACTAACCTCCTTTGCTGGAAAATATTTTAAAACCATATTAGCATATTTTTAAAAATCAGTTGTCTTTAGATTTAAATTAACTCTTGCTGGTATTATGGAGGAAAGCTTCTGAATGGCTGTGAAAGAATTGACCTTGGAATTTAATATTGATTAAAAATATAAATAAGTAGAAAAATATCTCATCGCCTGTTATGAACTAATTATAAAATTTTAGTTATATGAGTTGCCATAAGTACCATGATATATAGAAGTAATTTTCTATCCTGTGATTTCTCTGAACTTTAATGTATTTCTCCCCTCATAGTTTAAATTCCCCCAGTTTTTAAGAAGAAAATGCTCTTTTATTCACTATATTTAAAAAACTTGACAGGTCATAGATTTCAATTAGTTTTTACAAAAACAACATTTTCATCTTTTACCAATCAAATGTTTTAGTTGCCTTTAAGGTTTATGGCGTTATGCTAGTTTCTCTGAGGAAGACAAAGAAATTTGGCATCCAACCCTGATAGAGTTTACAATCTAATTGGAAAGTAAGACATTTAAAAACATGACAGAAATAACTAACAATACCAAGAGACATGAATGATGTCAGGCAAAAAGGACTGTAGGACTTCAGAGGAAGGATGATTTGTAAAAGCTTTAAAAATAGAAAAAGGTTTATGTTGGGCTTTGGAATATGGGTAGAATGTATTAAAATTCAAATCCACATTCCCTACTCCCACCTCCTTCCCACCTGCCATTGAGAAAGGAAGAAAAAAAAAACCTTTTACAAACATGTACAGTCAAGCAAAATAAATTCTATGGGTAGGTTTTTAATAGGCTCCAAACAATTTCTCTTGGCAGATTTCACACATTTCAAAAATTGAGGCATTCCCTTTCTCCTTTGGCAGTGTTATAGATTTAAAATTATTTTTTTTTAGGTTGTTACCTTTGTGGAATAGTGTAGTGCTTAAGTAAAGTATATAAAGATATAGTTAGTTGTTACAGTCTGCTCAAGCTTTGTATTCTGTGAACTTCCTATTTGGAGATGATAAGTTAAACATTTTTAGTATAGTTTCTCATATTACAATAATCTTTTTTGATGTTTCCTGTTGAAGATGTCTTGACCATCAGATATAATTTTTTTATACTATGCAACCTGAAGCCAAGCTTTAAGCTAAACAATTCTTTGAAGAAGGCAGCCCATGGTTTCACTAAATAATGTTCTTGATATGTTAATGAATGACCCTAAGATATTTCAAGAATCTATCATTGAATCAAAGTAGGTTTTCTCTCAACTGACACAAATTCCCAACCTCTCTATAACTTACTTAGAGTTGCCAAAAAAAAATTTTTTGTTATCCTTTTGTTAGGCTGGCAGTGAGACAATAGACAGACAGCTTCCCATTGGGACCAGCCCTGTCAAATCCTTTCCAATTTGATAGGACCTGTGAGATATTACCCTTTTCGTTGACATAACTTTGATACATCTACCCTGACTGAAGCATTGAAAAAGAATTTTAATTGTAGAAATGGTTAAAATTTCCTCAGAATCATTTGTAAAGTGCTATGCATATGATGGGGACTGCTTAAATACTTAATAGGTTTAGTTATTTAATTATTAGATAATTGCATAAGTACTTGTTATACCTTAAAGGATGGAAGAGAAGTTTATAAAGTTTTAAACCCTTTTTAAGAAATGGCAAGAAATGTATGTAAGTGTTGTTCATTTTAAAAACCATCCTTGGGGAGCTTATTAATTTTTTTTAATTGACTTTAATTTCTTAGAGCCAAAATTCTGGAAATTCTTCTAGTGAACCAAATGTCTTACACCTGAGTTCAAAAATCAGCTACACAAATATAGGATTGTAGAAGGCATAGCTAGAGCATTTCATTTGAAAAATGTCTAGGAAGTTACCGCAAGCTCCATATTAATGAGCTTAGAAGTATGGTATGAAAACCAAGAAATAGGCTGCTGCTGTCACGGTGGATAACACAAGGCAAAACTTCCTAACAGTCACCTTTTCCATCTCTCGGAAAAGGGGCATTGATGCTAGAGACTCCTCCATTTCTCTTTGAGAGTAGCTGTTACCTTTCCAAGTGGAGGGTTAAGAACCTGGATCCAAACAGTAGCTGGTACCAAGTATTTTTAGAGCTGTCAGAGACAACTCTGTTTTCCTGGCTACAACGCTTTGCCTTGGATTCTTCCATAACCAGCCAGAAGAAGCATTCATTCCCCTTTGTTGTCAGATCTGTTGCCACTGGCAGAAGGAAGATGCTGTTTTTTATGTATCATCTGCTGCATTGTTCTGTCCCTGTGAAGGATTCTCCTTAGTATTATAAATCTGTTGACAGAACTGCTAACCTCAGATATTAATCATATATAGATACAAATAAATATTTTAAAAAATCTTTAGTTTTGGAAGTAATGAAAAGTTTGTTATGCTGTTATATTCATGTGTTTTTTAAGAGTTTTGTAAAGCTCAAATCACTATTCTATAACCTTGAAAGGAATATGTCATTTTTGGAAAGTGAAAAAAGAAGGTATACTATACTTCAGACATGCTGGATTGAATGAGGTCCTTTAGGATGGTCATTCATAGAATCAAAAGTAGCTTAGCAAACCTCTCAACCTAGATGCCAGAGAGTTTTCAGTAAGCAGTGTGTACAGTAGAAGTCAGTGTCTGTCTCTCTCTGTCTCTGTCTCTGTGTGTGTCTCTCTCTCTCTCTCTCTCTCTCTCTCTCACACACACACACACACACACACACACACACACACACACACTTTAATCATTCCCTCCCCTTCTAGTCTCTTTATCCTCTGAAATATAATGATTGATTAGAAATTGATATGTAAAACCAGAACTTATGGACTTGAGGTCCAGTCCAGATCTAGAATATGGTACCTTAAAGATCAGGTAGAGTAGGTTGAGTACCAGAGCACTGCCTAAGAATGTTTTTTACCTTTTTAGATACCGCGAAACTTTATTTTTAATGTAAGACCAATCTTGGCTCTTCAGGCTCTGGTTTGTCGACCCTTACCCTAGACCCTTTAAAAAATTATTTTTATTTATTTTGTTAAATGTTTCCCAATTACATGTAAAAAAATTTTAGCAATTTAAAAAAAATTTGAGCTCCAAATTCTCTCCCTCCTTCCTGCCCCTCCCTCCTCATTGGGAAGGGAAGCATTTCTATATCAATTATACATGTAAAGTCATGTAAAACATATTTCCATATTAGCCATGTTGGAAAAAGCATCCCACAAACAAAATAAAATAAAGGTTTTTTTATAAGTATGCTTCAGTCTGCATTGAGTTCATCCATTCTCTCTAGAGGTAGATAGCTTTTTTCATCACGGGTCCCTTGGAATTTTCTTGGAATTGTTGTCTTGATCAGAGTAGCTAAGACTTTCACAGTTGATTATCCATACGATACTGCTGTTACTGTGTGCAGTGTTCTGGTTCTGATCACTTCGAATCAGTTCATATAAATCTTCTCAGGTATTTCTGAAACTATCCTAATCATTTCTTATAGCCCAGTTCCTCAGTTGACAAACTTCCTACTTCTTTGCCACTACAAAAAAGACCTGTCTTGGATTCTTGGTTTTTCTTCACTTTCTGTTCCATATTTTTTTTTTCTGTTGTGATCTTACTATATGCCTCTCTTGTGGTTCTATTACTCGTACTTTTGGGGCTGCTAACAACAGCCTGTTTCTGTTTTGACTTCTCTTGTCCTTTCTGAAAATATTGTTCATATTTTAAATTATTCATTTTATTATTTCCTTGGAAATATTTGGAGAGAGCAGACGCAGAATCAGGAAATCATTGCCTTTATAACATAGAATTTAGTATAGCACAGATTCATCATGATCCTCATTATGCTGTAATTTCTTTTTCTTTTTCTTTGCTGTAATTTCATGTATGGTGAAATCACCTATATTATAGGTGTAT